CGTTCAAGCAAGAGACGCAGCGCACGCAAACACAATGCGTCGTACTGAGCAAGCAAGCGTGAAGCCTGCAAACTAGTGGCCTGTTGATGCAACTTTTGTTGCTCAGGCTTTCTCATATCGTCTGGCTCACAGAAATGGGCCTGCCAGATCGGTAAAATGCGAGTTCGAGCAGTCGAAATGAGGAGACTGTAGGAGAGAAGAGGTGGTGACAGCAATTTATGTCAGTTGCAAAAAGATCAAGAATGGAGAAGGTAAAGCATAAAGATAAAGTGAGATAAAATAATATAAAATAAAAGATAAAGCAAGGACAATTAAACGGCATAAGTCCATGATTGAATATGTATAACACATATCCTAGTCAAAGTTATGTGTCGGGGTTGTGTCAGAGGGTAGCATCAAATCAAAAGAAGCAAAATACTCAGTTGCAGATATAAGCAAAACCTTGTTTTCGCAACTGTGTCGTATTGTCAGGGTGACCTAGAGGAACGCATCATGTCCGGAGTCCATAGTAAGCATGATAATGTCCAACGTTGGACCGTGGACTTGGTATATTCTCAGACATTTCGCCGACATCTCTAATGAGTCTCGCCGTTATTAGCACCACACTACAACTCGTCCGTAACAAATTAAGTCGATCATTTGATCAATTGTCTGCGAAACAGTCGTGGTATCTCTCCTTCTGCCTTAGTGCATTCACTAATCCTATATCCTCGTGTAAACCTTTCGCTATCACAATTTCTTACTTGCATTAACAAGTAAACCTAGTTCAGGTGCGCCCTTTTGAGCGGATTTAATGAGACATATTCACATTCCCCACTCGTTCCCCTACCTCCCCCCCTACTGTGTTAGGAGTGCTAATCCGAGTCTGCCCTTATAGTGGGTAATCCTCTTCTTCTAGGTCCTATCAGCCATCCTCTTGCTTGGTAAAATCCTTCTATTATCTGCCTAGTTCAGAGGTTTCCCTCGATTACTGCTAACATAGCCGTGCTACTCGAGGCGTTATGTTCTACACTCTGCATCAAAGCCTTTGTCTGACACGTTGTAGTGTCGTGATAAGAATAACCAGGCTCAGTGACGATGCCGGCGAAACGTCTGGGAATATACCAAGTCCACGGTCCAACTTTGGAAATTATCATGCACATTATGGAATCCTGACAGAGTACGCTTCTCTATGGCTCCCTGAAAATACGACCAAGTTGTGATAACAAGGTCAAACAACTTTTATACAATGAAAGACCGCGATCATATCAAAGACTACACCATCTTGGTCTTCATACCTTCGATTAAAACCAGCTATTTATTAAATGTGAAATGAGCGTAAAATTCTGAGGCAACGTAAAACGCAAACCAAATTTATGCTTACTCGAGTAAATAGATCAAGCGCTTCACCAGAAAACGCCAACCACCTGGGTTGCAGGCGTGAAGTCGTTCTGTGGAGTATCCATCGAATTGCTCCGAAGCTGTTTCCATTATACCAAGAAGACGATTTGCAAACGCCAGATAGGTCATTATCCCAGCTGATGGGATACCCTCTAACTTTACAGGTTTGGGATCCAGTCCAGCCAGACGGATCAGCTCATCAAGGCGAAGCTGGCCTATGAGGCTAGCGAGGTCACGCGGAGCCAAACACTCATCAAGACTGTTGAGCAAACACTTCAACCGCTTGAGATAGTCTGATTCGATACCATCGGAAGATAGGCTGCTGAGACTAGACAGCGGTAACTTGCCAATTTGGCTACTTCCTTCGATATTTGCCTCTTTATCAACATCGTGGTCACCCCCAATGTTGGTATCCTCAGATCTCGCATAAGAAGTGCTGCTGGTATCATCTATGGGGACCTCAGTGTCCGTCTCTCCTGCGGAGTCAACAATCGTCCAATCGCCACCAAAATCCAATGTTCTGACCCGGCCCGAACTTTCTGAAGAGACTAGTTGAGAAGCATCAGAGGCTGAGCCAGAGGCGATGGCGAGCAAAGGAGTAAGGTGGAGCGTAAAAAGGCGAGAGCGCTCTCTAAAATGAAGATATAAATATAGTTGAGGACAAGGATGTAAATCATAAAAATATTGTCGAGTCATTCGGGTAAAATAAGGATAATCAGGGATGAGTCGTCAGCGATTCATTCTAATTTGAGTTAGCACGTTTGAATGAGCAATTAAAAACAAAAATTTGCTTAATTTCTTTTATTTTTCGAATAAAGTATTGTTTTT